TCTCTCTCTCTCTCTCTCTCTCTCTCTCTCTCTCTCTCTCTCTCTCTTGGTCTCACTCTCGTAGAGCCGTAACATTGTTTTAATGATGAATATTTTTGTGTTCGATCGATTTGTATGCACCACATCAGTCACATGATGCAAACACACACACGCTCGCGCTCACTCAAGTTTGATGATTCTGACCTGTTGTTGCTGCATCGTCGCGGGCAATCGGAACTATGGAAAGCGTCTTGCTTTGATTTTCTCATTATCTTTCTCTTTGTTTCCTCGCCACTCACATTTAATCACAATCGTTTGCTCGCCTCGTTGTTGTTTTGTTATTCTTTTTCTTCTTCTTGCTCTTTGTCTGTTATCCTCTCTGTTATTCTCACCAAATACGTATACGGGCTATTCCAGTTAATGAATCTTTTAATCGATTTTTATATTCGATTTGACTCCTTTCCGTTCATCACTTACGCACTTCGTATATCGCTCGAAATGTATGAATATGTGCATAACAACTGTACGTCGTTCGTTCGAACAAAACGATTAAGCAAACACATGCATTTTTAATTTCGGCCTCAAAATGTTTATGATATCCAAGGTGTATTTATGTATGCAATTTAAAAACCACCGCTTGTGTTTACTTCGTTTTATTTTCCGTCGACGTTTTTGTTCAAAGTGGCGTTCGTTCGGCCTATCTCATTCAGATTCGATGTCATGCTTATGTGCCACAACAAGAATGTCATTTGAGTGCTGATTTATTTGACTCGATATAAGATCACTGATCGTGAAAGATGCGTATTCCGTCGGTGAATGGCAGCCAATTTCGATCCGTTGCATGCCTCCCAGTTGTTGTTTTTTTTCCTTCAATTTTTCATTTAACAAAAATTAACACATCCTTTCGATAAACATAATAATAATAATCGATTTTTTTCCCATTCTCTTTCATTTTGCAGTATTTGCCATAATCACGCAGACGATAGCTGTGCCTGTGTCGCTGCTATTCACCACGTACCATGACATTCGCCTTGCCAATGTAACGCGACAAAATGGGCCACCGTCATCGATTGAAACAATTGCCAAAGAATTACCAGAAGCGGGTGCCTTAGACTTTTTCTATGAAAAACAACTGGTGTGCTGGACCGATCAATCGTTGCAGCGGATACAATGCATGAAATTAAACGGGACACATCCGAATTCAACGCAAAATGTGATAACGAGTGGGCTAGACAAACCAGAAGGTATTGCCATCGATTGGTACACCGACAAAATTTACTGGGCCGATGGCGAAACGAATCGCATCGAAGTGGCCACACTCAATGGCAAGTATCAAAAAGTACTGTTCTGGTCGGATTTAGATCAACCGCGTGCAATCGCTTTAGTACCATCCAAAGCGTTGATGATTTGGAGTGATTGGGGTGAAAATCCAAAGATTGAAAGCGCTGCCATGGATGGTGAGCCGAGTACGCGCCGCGTTTTAGTCAACGATCGCATTTTTTGGCCCAACGGTTTGGCGGTTGACATTGAAAAAGAGCTCATCTACTGGGTGGATGGAAATTTGAAATTTTTAGATGTCATGAATTTGGATGGCTCCAATCGAAAGACACTGGTTAAAGACGTTAAAGATATTGCATATCCGTATAGGTAAGGCTAGAAGACATTTATCTCTTTTTATTTGGTGAATGTTGATAAAGCGCCCGTTACTCTGGTTTTGATTCTAAATCTTTCTTCTGTTGTCTATTATAGTGTGACCATATCACCAGCCCACAATCGTCTATACTGGACTGATTGGAACATCGGTTCGATTCATATGCATGACTTGACTACAAATGAGACACGAGAACTGATCGACACTCCCGATGTGCCGCTGGTGGTTCATGTTTATGACGAACGATTGCAACCATCGGGTGACAATCCATGCAAACACAAAAATGGCAACTGCTCACATTTGTGCTTGTTATCCAATTCAACGGCTGGATTCACATGTTAGTTTCTTTGAACGAACTTTATATTCATTTCTAATTTTTCTTGTGATTTTTCAAAAACATGTCAATTTTTGCACTGTTTTCTTGTATTTTCTACCTTAACAACAATGGTTCAACTGTCTTCTTCTAATTTTGCTTTTATTTCGCGCAATAAACAGGTGCGTGTCCAACGGGTGTAAAACTACTGACGCCGACCAAATGTGCCGATGAGCCGCAAGACATGTTGTTTGTAGTGCAACGACAAACAATCAGTCGGATATCGCTTGATTCACCAGATTACACAAGTTTCGGCTTATCATTGGGTCGGGTGAAACATGCCGTAGCAATTGATTACGATCCGGTTGACGATTTTATCTATTGGTCTGACGAAGAAGTGCATGCAATTCGGCGAGCTCGACTCGATGGATCTGGCCAAATGGACATCATTACAACTGAAATCGAGCATCCAGATGGCTTGGCTATCGATTGGCTTGCCCGTAATCTCTACTGGACCGATACCGGAACTGACCGGATCGAAGTTTGCCGTTTGGACGGAACATCAAGAAAGGTGATCATCAACGAGCATTTGGATCAGCCACGAGCTATTGCATTGGCACCGTCGCTCGGTTGGATGTTCTGGAGTGATTGGAATGAAAAGAATCCGAAGATCGAACGAGCTTCATTGGATGGTTCACAGCGTGTTATGTTAGTTACCGAGGGCTTAGGTTGGCCAAATGGAATTGCGCTCGATATTGAGGCGAAGAAAATTTATTGGTGCGATGCAAGAACGGATAAAATCGAAGTGGAAAATATGGATCCAACAAATGATGGTCATGCACGACGCATAATACTCAGTGAAAATTTGCCACACGTCTTTGGATTGAGTATTCTCGATGAATATTTGTATTGGACCGATTGGCAACAGCGATCAATTGATCGTGCGAATAAAATCACGGGCAATGATCGAGTTACAATCATAGATCAATATCCCGATTTGATGGGACTGAAGGTGACTCGATTGAAAGAAGTGAAAGGCACCAGTCCATGTGCGATTAAGAATGGTGAATGTTCACACTTATGCTTGAACCGACCAAAAGATTATGTGTGCCGTTGTCCAATTGATTTTGAACTTGCGAAAGACAAACGAACGTGCATCGTTCCATCGGCATTTTTACTGTTCTCACGGAGTCCACCTTCGCTGGGCAGCATCGGCCGCATATCGATTGACTATAACGAAGACAATCACAACGATTACATAATTCCATTCAAAGATCTTCGCGATGCACATTCGATCGATGTGGATGTGGCCGAACGGCGAATCTACTGGACCGATCAAAAATCTCGGTGCATATCACGGGCATTTATCAATGGATCCGATGTGCAAAAGGTCGTCGATTCGGGATTGATGCGACCAGAGGGAATCGCTGTCGATTGGATTGCACGCAACGTATATTGGACTGATTCGGAAGCGAAGCGAATTGAAGTGACTCGATTGGATGGCAGTAGTCGACGCATTTTATTGTGGAAAGGAATCGAAGAACCGAGAAGTTTGGTGCTTGAACCCACCAAAGGTTATATGTATTGGTCTGAATGGCCATCCGATTCAATTCGTCGAGCTGCTTTGGACGGTTCCGACTTGATAACAATCATTTCGGGAGCAAATCATGCATCAGGGCTTACAATTGATCCAGATACTCGTCGTCTGTATTGGGCATCGCAATCACGACCACCAGCAATCGAATCAGCTGACTGGGATGGCAAGAAGCGACAATTACTTGTCACATCCGATATTGAAGCACCGTATGCCGTAACATTATTCCAAGACACTGTGTACTGGAGCGATTGGAGCTCGGGCGATATAAAACGAGCCAACAAAATGTCCGGTGCCGATCAAGCACTAGTTCATAGTAATTTGGATTTCACCAGTTCATTGCTGGTTTATCATCCAAGTCGACAGGCTGGAACGAATCCATGTCGAGTGAATAACGGCGGTTGTCAACATTTATGCTTGGCTTTGCCCGGCCGACGTGGCCGAACTTGCGCTTGCCCAACACATTTTGTGCTTGCCAAAGACAATTTTTCATGCATTCCGCCCAAAAACTACGTGATCTTCAGTCAAAAGAACTCGTTCGGTCGGCTTTTGACGAATGCTAGTGACGCTCCAGATGCACCGATTCCAGTTTTAGGCAAGAATATTAGAGCTATCGAATATGATCCCATTCAACACACCATTTACTGGGTAAGTATTTTTTGAAAGATATTCTTTTCGAGAGTCAAAACTTGAATATTTTACTTGCATTTGAATAGATTGAAGGCAAAAGTCACAGCATTCGACGCTCTTTTGATAATGGAACAAAAACCGTTCAATTCATTGGACCACATCCGCAGCCTTATGACATTGCCATCGACATCATTGGACGATTGCTTTTTTGGACGTGTGCTTTCACAAACACCATCAATGTCACCAGGTATGTATTTGTTCTCCCCATGAATTCTTCACTTCTCTGGTTTCTAATTTTATTTGGAGTTTATTGATGATATCTGGCCATGTCATACATAAAATTAAACATAAATCCATTTCAAACCCTTCAGATTGGACGGTCAAGTGTTGGGTGTCGTTGATATTGGTGATTCAGAGAAACCACGAAGCATTGCTGTGCATTCAATGAAGCGGCTACTCTTTTGGACTGATGTTGGCAGTCAACAATCCATTTATCGATCTCGTATTGACGGAGCTGATCGTCTTACGTTGGCAATTAAACTGGAAGGAGTAGCAGCAATCACAGTTGATCAAGATTTAGACTTACTATTTTATGCCTACAACAAGCGTATCGATGTGATGGATCTTGATGGGCGGAATAAGTGAGTTTTTTTTCTACTTCTTTTTACATCTTTTTTTTTTCGTCGTGTATTTTTCGTCTAAAATTATCAAAAGTGACGCAATTGCTGATGAAACTAACGAATTTTCAATTTATTTCCATTTATTGTTTACTCAAAATAGGAGAAATTTGGTTTCAAGTCACGTGAGCATGGTGGTTTCATTGGCCGCTCTACAGGGTTATTGCTATTGGTTAGACGAACGAGCCGGAGTGGAACGAGTGACCATCACCGGCGATGGTAGACGAGCAGAATTAACACAGAGGGCACTTCAAATCACCGACATTGTGGCAGTTTCAATGCCTGACACCAAATTAATTCGAAATCACACGTGTTCCATGAGCCGAGCCAAGTGCTCACATTTTTGCATTGCCGAATATTCCAAGACTGAGATAGAGGTGTGCTCATGTCCACAAGGTCAGATGCTACTGCAAGATAAACGCAGTTGTGGTGCATTACCGGCATGTGGCCCAAATCATTTTACATGCGCTGCACCCTTTTATGGAGCTCCTTATGAAAGTTCGAGCTCTGATTTAAACAAAGATTGTATTCCATCGAGTTGGCGTTGCGATGGACAAAATGGTAAGAGAGATTTTGAAGCTTGGTTTTCTTTTTGATTACATCCAAAATATTGATGTACGATTTTCAATAGATTGTCCAGATAAATCGGATGAAGTCGGTTGTCCATCGTGCAGACCGGATCAATTCCGATGCCAATCGGGCGAGTGTATTGAGAAGAGTTTAGTTTGTGACGGAACGACACAGGTAAGCTATTTTCTTTGTTAGCTCAACGAAGCATTTTTTTTTTTTACTTTATTTTCCGTCATAGTAAACTGAGAGGAATACTTTTGACAACTTGTTCAGAGGTGAAAACGCATTCTAATTATAAATTTAATCAATTTTCAGTGTTCCGATGGTCATGATGAAGCAAATTGCTGCAAACGACCACAAGACTTTCAATGTCCAAGTAATAAGGTAAGATCAACTTTATCTGCGTTGTTCGTTTCTTAATGACACATATGGTGTTCTGTTTCTAATTCAAATTTTCCCTGCAGGTGTGTATTCCGGCCGCTTTGCTGTGCGATGGCTGGGAAAATTGCCCAGAGAGTGCAGATGAATCGGAAGAAATATGTAGCATGCAAAATCGTAGAGCTCCGCCAGTTTCCGACAAAAAGACCATATTCGTCGGTATTTTTGTCGTTGTTATAATAGTGTGTTTGATAGCATATACGAATGTGCGGCGAACACAGATATGTCGCACGAAATTGGCCGGCGCTGTAAATGAGCCAAAAGATGATCAAGCAATGGATCCACTTTCGCCAGCATCACATAAACCAACTCATGTATCGAAAATCACGGCAGTGTCCGACAACGTGCGAATGTCAACGTTGAACAGTCGGACAACAGTAGCGAATAGTTATGATCGAAACAATATCACCGGAGCTTCGAGTTCAACAACAAACGGAAGCATCGGTTACATAAATCCACCGCCAAGTCCAGAGACAACTCGAGCGGCAAGTCATCGACCATACAATAGACACTATAAGACAAGAAATAAGCCACCGCCGCCATCACCGGCCGAAACGACTGATTTTTGTGACGAAAGCGACGAGTATCGAACTCATTCCCGTATTCGATCGCCGTTGTCATGCGAACCGAACGACTATCGAACGAACATCCTTCGAACGGCCAGCAATGGTACGGGCAGCATCAACAGTAATAGTTTGAGAAAAGCACGATATTGTTATGATCGAGAACCGTGTCCACCACCTCCAACGCCTCGATCACACTACCATTCTGACGGCCATCAAGCACCAGAAAGCAGTTGCCCCGGCACACCGTCACCCATTCGATCCGTGTCAATATCAAGTTCCACTTATTTCTCGCCACCTCCACCACCATCGCCGCAATTGAAAAACTAAAATATTTATATTTGAACAACGCGTAATTTCTATAGATCGATTTTATATTTATATATATACGAGACAAAATAGAGAGTGCCTAGGAAAATCCCATTTTTAAAACTTGCAACATGCTAATTGCCACTAACTTTTTGAACATTTGATGCGTTTTCTTTGTATGTTGTTGTTCATATTTGCTTGATTGTTAAAACAAATGAAAAGGGATAACATAAATAGAATCAATTTTTTTTTTTGCATAGAACATAGTAGAGAGAAGCAAGGATATGTCTAGAGATATGTCTACAAATAAAAATGCAAGCATTTTTTAAATGAACATGTGATACAAAACTGAAAGAAAATTCTTTTAGAGATCAAACCTGAAATGGAAAATCAAAAAAAAAAAATCAGAACCGAATGAATCGAATCGATGAAAAGTCCGCAGTCGAAATGCATAGACTTTTTATGCGTTTAACATTGAGACTGTCTGCAAATGTCATTTATATGTAGCTTATTTCGGGAAAAAAAAACACATATTGAAATTAATAATAGATTTAGGATGAGAATATAAAAAACCTATAATTTTTGTTTAGAGAACATACTTGTTTTGTAAGACTGGACTGATGTTTTGAATTTATTTGTAGTATTTCTATAATTCAGTGGGATATTTTTCTTTTTCGAAATGTCTAAATTAGGAGTAATGTGACATCACAAAAAGCATTTATTCAATTTGAAAGCGAATAAATCAATTTCTATTTTACAATAGAACTGAATATTCAAAGTAGAAAAAAATATAAAGTTGTTAAATGCCAACATTTTTGAACGCATTTAAATGCTAAGACTTTTCATTCGACAACGACATTAAATTGTTAAGACTTTGTATAAAATCTAATTCGAATTATCAAAATAAATAAACGTTTTCTAAAAAAAATCGTGAAATTATTGTCAATATTTATTCAAGTAATTTTAAATCGAACAAGGATTTTATTTGATTTTTGTGTCATTAAATTAAATCTTCTAATGTAAAAATAGATCCATCTGGAGACTCGAAATCACTGGAATGTATTGTCTCATGTATTTTAGCCTAGGGGTTTCACGCAACTTAAAATTCATCTAAAATTTCAATATTTCACTCTTTGCTCTCACATTCTCTGGGATTCACCAAAATCCGTATTATTTCGAAATATTTTCAACATTCACCTTGAAAATTATGTTCTGGAAGTGGGTTTTGGTGGATCTTCAGGATGGATCAGACTGGGTTTGACAATGCCCTGGTCCATCCGTACAGCGATAATTTGTGACTACGAAATCGGTTAACTTTTCAATTCTATGGGCGCTGCCATGTTGAAAATTTACGTGCGATATGGTGTACGCACTCAATAGTTCCACTTATTTCAATAAGGAATCTCTATAGGTGGCGCTGCCACATCGTCATTGACATCGAGTCAAATATTGTCAAATATAATAACATTGTTTATATAGGCTTTTATCGCAGTACGGGTCCATCCTCAGGATCCACTTCCAGAACCAGGAGCGGTTTTGAACAATCCTGAGAAACCACCAAAACCCACTTCCAGAATTTTTAGATTCAAAAAATTCGAGTTTTTGAATAAAAAGAAGCAATATCTATAGTTTACACATAAAATGTGTACAATTTTGGAAAGGAATAATTTATTTTGTTAAATTTGGATTCGCACATATTCATCCATCCATATATCTATCTAACACACATCCAAAATTTAAATTAAAACTTCATACGTGAATCATGCTCGTGTTCTTGGTGAGTCAAAAACGACATCAACCCTCTAGGCGAGGATAGCATCAAACTGTCAAAGTACACGGGTACTTTCGATGCTTGTGTATGTGTGTGACTCTGTGTGCGTAAATGACAATGTTTACTTTGAATCTTCAAGCTGTACCGTCTAGAGGGTGTCTTGGTGTTTTACGTCAAATCTCTCCCATGTATTTAGATACGAACAAAGCGATCTTGCGTGAATAGCTGGATAGATTTTGAAGTTTTTGTCCGTTTGCCTGTTTAAATTGCATACTATTGCCAGAATGAACCAAAAACAAAGTGAATAAAACTCTATCTAGCTCACTACGAGTCAATAAACTTCATATTCAACGCTAGTGCTGACATCAAGCCAATCTTAGCTCTTCTTGACATTTATGCTCCTGGGCTTACTACAACTTCAAAATTAATAAGCAGCTATGAAGAAAAAAAATGGAAAAGGACGAAAACCAGTCAGACAGATATATTGCACTTGCTACCATCACAAGAGGACAGAATATACTTACCACGCATAAATGAATCGTATCTAATGAAACGTAAAACCGATGATTGGTTCGATAAATCATTGACTCCGAATTTTTAAAATCGCATGAAACTGAAGAAAACAGACCCATCCTCAATAAAAATCGAGTTTATCCAACGAACAAATTACATCGTTGAATAACAAATGTTGTATTCTTACGAAAGCATTATAAAACTGCTCAAATTGACATGGTAATGAAAATGAAACATTAAAATATGACGTAAACACTAACAACAAATGGAAATCAACTATGTAAAATGTGAAATATGTTCTCAATTAAGTCAAGCAGAACAAGCGAATGCTCGAAATCGGCAAACAAAATTACATTTATGGCATAGAAAACTCACCTATGATGGCCTGTTATGAGTCTATTCTCACGTAATTTTCACGAGAAATCGATTTTTGCGAAAGTCATATTATTTTGGTTTTCTCATTTTCTATAGAAAACAAAAGTCCATGCAATTTTTCAGCTAATTCTGAGATGGTTGATCCAATTCTTGGTCAATTTCGTGTGGAATGGTCGATGTCTTTGAAGTAAAATGGTGCAGTCATATTTTGTGTGCTGTGCTGTATTATTATTTCTATGCGTAATAATCGGAATGTTCCAATGCCTGCTAGCAACGAACGAGTGCGCCGGTAGTCACAACTGTAAACACTATACACGGTGATCGATATAGGAGTTCGTGTGTAGTTTAACTTCTTACTATATGCGGCGCTAGTGTCAAGTGTTAAAAAATTAAACGTCCGGCTAGCAGGCATTGAAATGTTCTATAGCTTTGTTTCTTATCTCTTGTGAAATTACTCCCCTCTTTTACTTTACTCTCAATATAACCCATGGCTTTTTCAATAAACTAAATTTTTAGCATTAAACGAAAATAGAGTTCTTCAACAACTTACCTCGAGTGTCTAATCAACAAATGGACGATAAAAGAGATCTCCATTCAAAATTTGAACGAAATCGGTCAAGGCGTTCATGAGATATCGTGTCTGAATATTCAAAAAAAAAAAAAAAAAAAAACAAATCCAATAGCTCCACAATTCATGTAGTGTTATTGTAAAAACGATGCATATATAACATATCTGTAATATGTAAATTGAAATTATGATTTGTTTTTCAATTTGAAGAAATGTTTTATTTATTGTTTATATTAACCAAAATGTGGCATCAATTGTTGTAATCATTTTGAGAAAGGATACGAACATAGAACGAATGGTATAACGTATCATTGATACATTAGCAAAATTTAGTTTATCCGGATCTTTAGAATCATAGAAAAATGGTACATCAAACTTCTGATATTTTTTCGGTGTCAAATCATCAAATTCATAGCGTACACATCGTTCGATTTTTTCTTTGTAACCGATGTATGGAATCTGTATCATATAACTATGCCTGAACTCTAAACACTTCACAATGGGAAAATCTTCCTTATAACAGCCAAATTCACCAGTTCGAAAGAAAAAATCGTGAGCTTTGTAATTTGGCAATGTTGTATTGATACCGAGTAAGCAATCACGAATCAGTTCCAAACAATCACAGGGAATTTGCACATCATTCCGTTGAGGCGAGGAAGGAATATTGCATTGTGCACTACTAATACACTGTTCGGTTTCATTTTTCATCTGAACGTATTGGTCAAATGTATTTTCTCGTTTGACTTTCTCTGTATATTCTTCTCTTTCCTGAACATATTGAAAAAATTCACTATAATTAGCATGCAAAGCACGAAAATATACATTAAGCGCTAGTTTCTCAATTTTTTTGGAGTTTTCAAAATATGGCACATCAAAATATTGATAAAGTTTTGGTTTCATTTCATCCAATTCATAACGTTTGCATCGTTTATGATTCAATTCTGATTCAACGAAATCCAAACACCGAACAATAGGATAATCTTCTTTATAACATATGTTAATAAAACCAAAAAAATATAATTCAGCCAATTCATGTGATGCGTTTGAAGGGATTGTATTAGTAAAGCAATCACGAATCGACTCAATAGCATCGCAACTACGAACAATGTATGGAAATGAGTCGGTAAAATTGGATTAAAATCCATAACGGATGATTTCATCATCATAATTCGAAAAACAATGGCCCATCCTGATGACTGCAGATCGAATTTCTCGAAACTTCCCTGAAATATTCAATAAAACTCGTGTGCAATTTTGCAATTGATGGAAAAACATTTCTGTCATTACCAAATGCATCTAATTGTTGTTCAACTGTTCCGTACAACTCAACTTTCACAGGATATTCGGGAATGAGCTCTTTTGGTGGTGCCCACCATCCACCTTCAATCACCAACAGCTGGCTCGTCATCGAAATTAGTAATACAAGTGGCAACATTTGTTCTTTTTTTCTCCCAATAATCAAAAACCAAACTTCTATGAATTCAATTATTCAAATTACCAAACACAAAAAAAACCTTTTTTTTATGTTGTTAACACTGTGAAAACGGTATATTCGTGAGAGTGTTCAAACAGCACTTCTGTTCAAATATTACTAATCAATTAATAAAGAAAATCTTGGTTTTATATTTCTTTTATTTTATTTTATTCCCTGATTGTGGTCGCGCTCGACCTGCTTATAAGATTATTTTTCCACATTTCTATATACAGGGTGTAACAAAATTGAGTGCAAATGCTGCAAACCACGTTATGGCATATCGTCTGTATTCAGAAAAGTGCTTCTCATATTTTAGATAGGTCCTGACTCCAGCAATAGGTGGTACAAATATTAACATGGAAACACCCTGTATAGAATGTGAAACGAAAAGAAAACAATGTATGTAACTTAAATGATATCTCATCACGAATGGTTTGCTATCATAATAAATGGCATTTCTCGAACGTTATGCGTACGTATAAGTGTCGCTTCGCAAAAACAATCCGGTCAACGCTCTTTCACACTGTTTGTGTTCATTTGTTTTGCATTGCTATCGTTAACTTCTTCATTTCACTTATGCTTGCACTTGCGTCATATATATGCGTTGATAAACGCAAAACTAACCAAATTTGTCACCTCATACAATCACAAATGTACTCTTCCAACCATTCTTTCACCCGTGATAGAATCAAATTAAAAATGAATTCTTTCAATTTATTTATTGATAATATTTTTATTCATTATTTTGATGTTAATACATTTTTTTTTTACATTTTCAACGTGTTGCTACTTTATCTCGTAATTAATATAGTGAATATACTCTATGCTTTGCTCTGAACAAATGAAATGAATTTTAACTGAAAAAAAAAGGCATAGAAATGCATACATACGATTGACTTGCAGGAGAAAAAAAAATTGAAATAAACAAACCATTGAGACGAAACGAAAACATTGGGACGACACCGTCTCTAGACGGGGATTACAAAAGCTTCTAGATTCGAGTGTTGTGTTTCGCCGCTTTAATGAAATAATAAATTGAATTGCCGCAATTGAAGTGTTGTTAAGTAGCTTTAGCTCATCTCAAGCAAACTTGTAGTTGCATGGCGGTTTGCAGTAGCACTTTGATGCCCGGCATAAAACCGGCAATTTGAGAAAAGTCTGGACCAGATACCATTTGCGTGTGTAGCCCCAATCCATTTGCGTAGTCGCCAATTTGAACTAACTGAGTCAATTGATTCAAGGAACCCAACGTGTTTGGTGTTAACTGAAAGAGCAAACCAATGAATGAATATTCAATTCTTTATTGTTTAAATCCAAGACATTTCAAATTGAAACCTACCCTATTCTCACGCAATAAATCATATAATTGCTCTAAACGCTTCGAAACATCATCCAACTTCCGTTTGGTTTGCTAAAATGATTGAAAATATTGCGAATTTAGAACCAAAAAAAAAAAACGCTTCATAAAATTTATGTTTTTCTAATTTTCTTTCGAAATGAGCCAAGTTGAACAAGAACTTACGGGATTGTTGGTTACATTGCAGCATTGAGTACGCAGCTCGTTGAAAACCGTTTGCATATAGATGTACTCTTCGGGAAGTGGTGGTTTCTGTTTGATTGGTTCTGAATTGGCGAACGGTTGCTGAGCTGATTGGGAAAATTGCAGTGGCTGAGCGTTTGGCAATTGGGTTTGGAACGTTTGTGTCTGCGGTGGAAAACCAGTTGATGGTAATTGGTGTGCCGGCTGCTGCTGTTGTTGTGGAGGTAATTGCGGTGTCATGTATGTACCCTGATATGATGCATTTGGAGACGTAACGAATTGTCCACCTGATAGATCACCGTAACCATTTTGATTCTGATTTGGATCGACGCCAAACAACGGATGTGTGATTACGTTGGCATTTGTCTCGGTCGGTTGAACGGCTGGCGGCTGTAAAACAAATATCGAATCAGTCATCATTTTTGTTTTGCTCTCTTTCTCAATTCACATTTTGTTTTGTCAAATCCGAGTCTTTTTGATATAAAATTCAGAAGGTTTCACTACTTTTTTTTTCTCTGAATTTGTAGGGAAAAAAGTACTCATTTTCCTAATTGAAAAATCCGTATGAATGAATGTTAAAATTAAATTGGTCGCATTCGCTGATTAAAATATTTAATAGTATGAAGTGTGACATTTGAATGCTAAACAATTTAAACAATATTTTCGTATGCGGTTAGTATAAATTCAGATGGATTTGAATCTTGAAAACAATTAGAAAACGGGATGAAAGCTTTTCAAAAAAGACATCAAAAGCCATATTGGTCAAACAAAAAATCACTAGAAGAAAAATGGTGATGCAACGAACAGCGAGTTGGAAACGAAAAACTAGAAAAAAAAAAGGAGTCAAAAATCTCTCTTCGCACACCAAACACAAAATACCTTCATCAAATTGTCATTTGATGATGCAGTAGTTTTGGTTGGAGGATGCTCTTTTTCGCGCTGATGGCCACGAATGATTTTATTCCATCTCTTTGTGCCGGCATGAACAGCTGACATATTTTCATATTGAATCACCGATAAACCCGAACGAAGCGGCGATTGCTAAATATTTATATGCAGAAAAAATCATTTTTTTTTTCGTTTGCTCAAACTGTTTACACAAATGTGCGTATTTCGGCAATTTGTGCGCAGTTTGTATCAAATTTGTGTTTGCGTTGAGTAGATTTCAACAAAAAAAAAATTGAACTGGAATCGATTCAACTTACCAGTCGCGTTGATTTCAATGCAGGTGGATCGTTCCATCCGGGTGGAGGTGTTGGATTTCTCTGAATATTCTGCTGAATTGCCGGTTGAGCAACTTCGATTGGTGGTAAACCAGGCGCGAATGTGTTGATTGGTTGTGGATTCAGAATTGATGATTGACCTATGCTAGCAATAGGCACTGGATTCGATACTGGTTGGTTAAATGGTTGATTGAATTGCGATCCGTACGACGGTTGCTGTGATCCAAATGTTTGGTTTTGCGATGCATACAAACCAGGCGCTTGACCGTAGGAAGAACTTGACTGAACTGATGGATCCAAAACGTATTTACTGCGGGCAACTGGTGCTGTGCCTAGCAATGAGAGAGAAAGCAACAAAAATCGATTGACAATTTATTCTATGATGAAAAAAACGATTTTCACATGCAAATTTGCCGCTATACAGCGAAACACAGATATAATCACCTTGTGAGCTAACACTCGATGGTCTGGGTGGTTGCGCGCTTGGATCGAAAAGTGGTGGTTGAGTTGGTGGTGGTTTTGATTGCACTGGCGGCAAAATTGGATTTGGCTGCGCCACATTGCTCGGTGCAAACGGTGTCGAATTCCATGGTTGTGCCTGCGGATGTGATGGAACTGGCTGACCCCACGTTGGTGGCGATGCCGTGGTTGGTGCAGCCGCTGGGAAGCTATTACTGTAACTATTATTGCTGAAGCTGTTGTTATTGTAGCTATTGTTGAATGTAGCCGTTAGTGGCGATTGAATGCTACCATTCGATGGCCGTTGACCAAACTTGTTTGGTGTTTGTGCCTTCACATACATATTCTGCGCTTGTGATTGACTGCGAACATTTGTTGCATAGGCTTGCTTATGCCCCAAGGTATAGTAAAGTCGTTCGCGCAATTCAACAATATCGGCTGCTTCAGACGGGCCCAAATATGTGAGCGCTGAGTTCAATGCTCCTTGTGAAGCCAATAAACCGGCATACTGTGACAATAGCTCAGCCAATTTACCCGTTGCGTTCACATTTCGACCCTGTAATTCCAAGGCTTTTTGGAAAAGAATCACCACTTCGATGAGATCCTGTAATTCCTGGGTCGACGGTACACTTTCACCATTTGCTGTGGTTGACTGTGCGGCCAACCATGATTCGGCCAAACGTTCAGCGTTGCCGGCACAAATGTAACAGAGGATTGCATTTTGAATGGACGCCAAATTGGAGCCACTCTCGCATTGCAATCGCTCTCCAAGACGTTCGCATAGCACAGGCACATGTTCACGACAGTACGTTAGAGTTGCAACGAGTGCCTCCTTCCACGAATCTGCTGTGCATTGTGAAATCACTGATGACCAGTCATCAGTGACCAATGCCGATATTATATTCGATAAGAAGCCCTGACTCTTTTTCAAGTAACGATATTGAGTGCGTGCCAATAGATCCGATCCGCCTGTGGTCGCAATAATTATGGCATCGGCCATACGATCGGAATCGATGCACAGTTCAACGGCCGATTCAATGTTACCGGTGAGGAGAGCTTGACAAATCAAACCTTCATTGTCGTCACCAGTACGAATTTTATACGGAATTTCCTCATTGCTGCTATCCAAATCGTCCTTCAACTTTTGTTGCGAAGCAAGATTGTCAAAAATGGCCGCATTATCTTGACCCTGGAAATTAAATACAATTTTTTATCAGACTTTTACTAAGGGATTACTTCATTTTTGTTGGGAGAATCGGTTTTTTCTTAATTTTTGGTTAGATTTGGAGCTAAGCAAACTCTTCATTCGACTTAAAGACTCAAAAACCCAATGATGCCAATGTTGTATGATGAAATGGAATTGTATTCAGAATGTGCAGAGAAAATCTTACCGACAGATTGCTATCGTTAGTGCTAGTGAATGTTGTCGAACTAGACGTAGCTCCTTCAACATCCGATGAATCGTTCTAGCAATTTTTTTTGAATAATTCAACCGAGCAACAATGAAATTTAATAACGAACACTAGATATGTATTGGCTAGTACAACAACAAAACAAATGTTTAAAAATAAAGCCGAAATTGAACACAAAACGAACTGAATGAAAACAACGACGACCAAAACTGATAAGTCAACCAGAAATGAATGAATGAACGGGAAAAAAATGCGTGATAATGCATGGGAAATGAAATGGGTAAACACATGGTGTGATTACATAACATGAATGTTTCATGGTGAAACCAAGCCTAATGGATCGACGGGAGTGGTTAGTATCTACATTCCGATAAGAAATGATTATATAATGCTTACAAGATCGGCGAGCCGAGTGTTGATGGCATCGATGTCATTGTCGGCATTCTTCTCGATGTATTTATTAAATTTGCCACGCATATCCTCAATGTTATAGCCTGTTCAACGAGAAAACAGTTCAAAATGATGGAAAAGTTTTGATAAACCGTAATTTCATGTGACGCTTACCCAATAAATTCAGCATTTCGGCATGTGGATCTGCTTCGAAGTTGGCCTTTAAGAAATACCAAACGTATCGACTGTGTTGATCTTCGGTTTCATCGGCGCGTTGTTTACAGTAATCAATGAAGTTGCCATTGCTTAATACCTCTTCCAATTTAGTTGATCGTTCAACGAGTTCTGGCTCAGTTGTTACTTGGCTTATGTTGATCGTGTGCGGTGCACTCGGCTCATTTCGGAATGTAATTAATTTCCCACCAAACTAAAAACAGACGTGCACGCATGGTTAGAAAAGACCAATTAATTCACCGCCATTGTTTAATAGGTACTCACTCCAAATTTGGCACCAACTGGCCGTTTCATCCATTTTGGTGGCTTTTTCAGGTCATTGTAGACAATTTGAGTGGTTGCCTGTGGCGTTGGCGCCTGAGCAAAATGTTCCATGCCGGGGAACGAATCGGCAATTTTATTTGATGTTTGCACTTGATGCTGTGTACCGCCGTACAGTGAGTAAATTGACACGGCACCATCTAAACTGGAACTGGCAATCAAGGCTGGATTCCGTGGACACCAAATCACATCGGAATACCACTGAAGTGGCGTTGCAATTTCGGAGATGCATTCATCGCCCGGTTCACCATTCGGATTCCAGCACAAAATTTTATTATCTTTACCGCAAGACACCATCAGATCGGTGTCTTTCAAACACCATGTCAAACCCAGAATACCACGATCGTGAATTTTTAGCGTCTGTACCGAACAAAAAGAATTGAAATAGAAGAAAAAAAAAAAACAATTTTCCAAGCAAAATCCAACGAACCTTAGCTGGTGCAGTGGCATAACGCAAATCCCATAACTGAACAAACGGTGCTTGATCATCTTCGGATGCAAGCCACAATTGTGTTGCGATGGTTGGATGCCATTGCAATGCCCGGAAGCGAACACGCGATTGTGTATCGCTAAGTTTAATGATTGGCTCATTTTTACGCAAATCCCACACCACGCATCGCGTACTGAACACAGAGGCGAGAATATGTTGCACTTGACGATTCCAACCGATGTTTTGGATGTCTTCCAATGGTTGCGTCTTTGTACCGGGCGTCATCGGTGTTGTGGTATTATTTAAATCCCAAATGAAAATATCCGATTCCGATGCGCCAGAGGCCAGTAAATTCACTTGGAATGGATTATAGTCTAGTGCACGAACAGCGCCTATAAATGAAATTTCAAAAAAAAATCGATATCACTTGGGACGTATATCTTCTTTATTTTTCGAAATATTTCGAATCATGACGTCATCATACCAGTGTGCTTGTCTTGCGATGCCACCAACGCATCTTCGCCAGCTAACAATTTTGATGCGCTGTACAGTTGCAAATGACCACTTTCACAACCAGCTGCTATAATTCCACACGTATTACCCTGATTCCTCAATGGGCTCCATACAATTTTCTGAAATCTGCATACGGTGAAAACATAGAATTGATTCACAATCATTTGCAAAGGGCATTTTCATGGTCACATCGTTCCTTACCTATATGGGCTATTCTGAGAGGCTTTCAAATTCAGATCATAACCGGGATCGGTCAAATTGGTTTCGTAGATTTCTAATGTTGCATTCGAATTGAGTGATGTATCGATTTGCTGGGCGGCCGTACCGGCAGCCAAATATAATTGGTTCAACTGTGCCGGTGACCAGGCAATGTTGACTGTCTTTTGTAACTCCTTGATTTTCATGATTCACGTCCCTTATTTGCGATGCGTTGTTAATAATTTGGTTTTCTTTTGTACCAATCCTAATAAAATGAAAAGACCTGAAAATTTGTTGCAAAAAAAAAAAAGCTTGTGAATATTTTGTCCGAAAAAACACACACACATCGATAACTGTAATTTTGTTCTAATAACTTGTCAGTAAACCAACTAGACAACACCTGGTTGTAAGTACTTAAATTTCTCCTAATTGAATATCGTCAAATATCGATCGACTAATCGAATTAAATGTTCTGAGATTTTAAAAATTTCAAAACGTTTCCAAGAACCAACAAACTGATGACATCGTAAGCAAAAATTGCACTTCTTCTAGTAACTAACTTTTGTTTAATTATCTTTTTTCAAAAGTTTGTTGGGATTTTTATACATGAGCTTAACGACAATACCGGAATTTGCATGTACTTGATGCGTTTAAAGCTTCGTTCCAAAACTAAAGAATGCAATAAGTTTTTGTTATTATAAATTTGGTCTTAAAACGTCAACACTTCCAACGTGTCAGTAGGAAACAGAAGAAACCGAAACGGCTACAATGACAATTTGGTTATTACAGTGTACTCGCACACACTGTAACCAATTTAAATATTTAATTATTTTTGTTTGTCTTTTTTTATGGCAGACCGTAGTCGGTCGATTTTACTGAAAATTGCCATACATGTGGTTCGCATTGAAATCGGTCAATATTATACATGCATACAAATTGGAATTCACTGGATGCACATATTATTCCCTATTTTTTCAACGACAGATACACTCTCACTCATACACACACACACATTAACTCACTCGCATACGGCACAATTAGAACAAATTCACTCTTACTGCTAAAATATGATACGATCAGATTTATTTTCGACTGAATGCAAACATTTCGGCTGTATATTTACACAACGATGACACAATCTGTGGCAGAACATTCACATTAATGGTGTAGTGTGTTGGCTGCTGATGTATTTTCTCAACACTTTACGTTTGTCCCTATTTTAATTGCATGTACAGAATATAGGTTTCGGCTCGAGTGATTCTCATAAGAAAGAAAAAAACAACACTGTATCAAAATTTATCCTATGACTTACAGAAAATTGAATATGCTTCAATTGGTTTCTGAACTAAACATGAATTTTAAATTACAAGTCGAGCGAATTTGGTTGCGATTTCCGAAAAACAAAATACTTATTCCTTTTTTTTACCGTATGATATTTTATGAAGATAATCTAATTGGCCACCGCGACAAAAATATACACAAAAAATTAAAGCCGACACGTCAACGTCAAATGTCAGATCGACTTCAGCTTTACCTCGAATTCATTCTATTTTCGCCGCTCAACGCCATCTCTTGAACAAGGAGCGAGACTTTGACGAACGATTAGCAATAGAAAACATTCAGCTGTAGCAAAATGAATGAATTCCAACGATATTTCTTCATTTTTTTTATTTGGTTTCTAAGTTTTTTAGGTTGATTTTGGAAGAATGATTGAAAAATATCGTTGAACTAACGGAAAAACCTGAAGTTTTTGTGATTTTTTTTTCTACTTAAAAACTTCACCTTCATTTCTTGACTTCAGTCGCAGCTTATTTAACTGGATTGGTGTTACCACATGGTCGACACAGAAACGTCAAATGCAAGCATCTCATTTGCCTGCAAAACTGCTCCGTGCATCGCAAAACCATAGAATCGGTGACGAAGCGGCAATTCTGTGTCGTATGTTATTGTAATAAATTCAGTCCAACTTTGCAATTAGTCCAACGATTAGAATCATGACGGCTCCCAATTAACAATTCCAAAACGGAAAAAAAACACACACGAACACTCAACGTACAAGCTCACCGTGAAATTGCTTTGGTTTTAGTTTTTTCGTTTTTGTTTTTGACATTGTTTGTTTGTGTGGGCTTGTAAAATGGCATCAACATCAAATGGTACAGGAAATCTGGTCGATGAATTCGAAGAGTCGTTTCAGGTGAGTTTCAACTGGAAACATTCAATTCCATCGATTTATTCTGTTTACGATCAATTGATATGCGAAAAAAAAAATGTGTTTCAATTGTAGGAATGTGTTCATGCGCTCACCAAACAAGAGGCGTCGACTGGTGTAGAAAAGGATGAAATCGGCATGGAAGTCGATCTGACCACAATGAAATTCATTGATTTGGCACGCCAAATGGAGGCGTTTTTCATACAGAAACGATTTTTGCTGTCCGTGCTCAAGCCACAATTGGTGCTGAAGGAAGAAAATGTAGATCTGCGATGGGAAATCAATCGCAAAGATGAAATGATCAAAAAACACTATGAAAGTATTGAACGATGGAAGAATATGCTGTCTGACACGCAGCCACAACATATGCCACATCCGTCACCGCAACAACCACCGATACCACCACAGGTTTGTTTCGATGAAAATTCACGTTTGCCAATGTGTTGTCGGAATTACGAGGTAATTTTTTTCTCTTCTGATTAGATGGGCCCAATTCCACAAGGTGGAATGCCACCACATGCAGGAATAATGGCAGCCGGTCCAATGAATATGCCACATCCTGGTCATCCTGGACCAGGTGGACCTCTACCTGGACCAGCTATGCCAATTTCAGGAATGCCAATGCAGGTACAACTATTGAAATTTGACTTTTACAAGCGCAAAAACAACAAATATCAATGAAAACGTAAAATTCTTCGTTCAACAGCCACAACAACAGCATATGATGCAAGCCCAACAGATGCACATGCAACAAATGCAGGTAAGCTAATATTTCATTTGAGTTGTCGATTATTTAATTCATTGTCCGAATCCTTTTTATATCTCACAAATCACTTTGTCCATTTGCCATATTTAATGCAGAATGTTTTTGTTGCAATTTTTATATTTTCTGTCATTTGTCTGATCAGTGATCACTGATCACTCCATAGAAATGTGTTATTGACAAACGTTTATTGCATTATTTTTCTCTCATATTTTCTATATAAATATTTTTTTTTTTTAATTGCATCTGCTCAATTTCGTAAGAACATTTTTTTTCTTCCAATAAAATTTGGTGTTTCTGTTTGTTTTACATTTTTCTTTTGCATTTTGCAGTTCGGAAAATTGGCTAAACGATAAAAAAAAAAGTATGAAATGAAAAATTGAAGCAAAATTGAATTTTGACGTTTGTCATCCGAAATTATTTCCCACAAATAAAATAAGCAAAAGTGAATGAATGAGAGAGAGAGAGAGAGAGATGGACAAGCAGTTAATAGTTATCGCGGTTTTCAAAAAGGGAATCAATAAATCGCGCACGCACGCACACACAATCCAACAACTGTACCGACCTCATTAGATTTTAAGAGCACAATTCGTTAAATTTTTGTTTCTTTATTTCTACCATATTACTGAAGTGAGTTTCAAGCGCAGTTTTGTTTTAGCAATGAAGTTAGATTTTGTTTAGCTTAAGCAAATTTATTTTTTAAATAACAAACAAACAATGTAGACTATTTAAACTGGCCATTTTTTGTGGACAAAGAAAAGATATATAGAATAAGTCAATAACTTCAGATGCCAATCAAAACAAATAAAGAATTTTCTTTTGACGTCAAATGTTGTTTGCGCAAATAAAGCAAAATTGACACAGAAATGTGTCGCTGTTGAAACTTAACAAACGCAGATTTATGTTCATGTGAAATGATTTCACTCTTTCTCGATGGGACTGCGTTTTTAAATACCTCAACATATTTTTTTTTTCTTATAAATTTAATGAAAATAGTCCAAATACATCGAAAAAAAAAAGAAAATCAAAATACAAAACCAATTCTGAGATTAACATTTAATGCATTTTAATGAATAATAAAAAAAAAAGGTTGGTGGCGCACCACAAATGTTTATGCAACAAGGCGGCGTCCCGATGCGTGGAAATGTTGGTGGTGGTGGCATGCCAATGCCAAGCAACTTTGGACAAGTGCCAAACGTTCTGCCGGGAAACAATCCTTTAGCTTTTCTGGAAAAAACGACCAGCAATATAGGTAAAACAAACACTTTCGCCTGAACATTCAATGCACACTCTTTTTCAGTTTGTCTAGAAATTCACATTTTTTTCCACTTTAACATTTATATTGGCTTTCAATGGTTTCTTAATTCTTGGGTTTTAATTGTTTCTCAAATGATTTTTTTTTTTTGTAGAATTGATAGCTATTTTGCATTTTTTTTATTTTAAAAAAGAAATCGACACTTTATGCATTGCCAACAATTTTAACCGAGAAAATATTTTTCATCTTCTCTCAACAATTCCAAATTACTTAGAATAAAATTCTCTTAAAATATTGTCTACAGGGTGACGCGGACGTAACAGAGGTCGTCGAAGTGTTCGTGCACGTGGAATTCAGGGTCGTGGTCGCATAAATGATTTCCAATGAATCCGTTTGTCTTAAGAATGGTCAACAAATTATGCTGAATGGTTATTTATAAAATTTCATCTAAAAAAAAATGGTTCGAACTGAATCGAGAAAATCGTTTTCATATCAAAATTCAAACGATAAAGCTTCAAAAAGAAACTACATCAAAAGAACGAGAGTAATTTCTATTGGGTTTGTATGAAGTTCTACCGCCAATTTAGACAAATCACTCATATTTGGTCGATTCTTTTTCCTTCATACATCACAAACATACACATTTTCTTTAAATTCCATTCTAAAGCTGTTTTTTATGATTTCTGAGCTATGACGTTGCCGAAATCGAAGAAAAACGTGTAAATAAATTATGTTTTTTTTTTCTATAAAACGAAAGCGAAACTAAAAAAAAAAATTCCTTTTTGATCATTTGAATTGTCTGTATATTATATGGAAATGAAATATGCATTTAAATAAGCGAAAAAAGAACTTACGGATCTGTTTTACTGAATGTAATCTTAATAAAACAAAAAAAAACATGGTTAAAATAAGAAGAATGAATTCCTCTAAGAACCTTTTGAAGACTTTTATTTCGAAAATATTTCAACAGTTTTACGCACACACGTACGACTAGATCAATGAAGTGAAAGAGACAAAATAATTGCGGAAATTGGTGAGACGCAATGGTCATTGTTTATCGGTAACAATTTCACAGCCGGGCAGATCTTTTTTCAATTGGCTTACGACGCCGTTGAAATCTTTGATGTAAATAAAGCCGTAGATGGTAAGCTTCTGCAGATGATTCAATTGCTTCAATGACAGTAGGCCACTTTCGACAACATTCGAACAATTGGTCACTTGCAATTCTTTCAATGAATTCTTCACATATACCAATTGTTCCAGTGCCTCGTTTTCCATATGCTTGCATCGGTTCAGAATGATGTGTTCGATTGCTTTGCAACCCTTGAAATGCTCAAAACCAAGGGCCATGATGGATGAATCCGTTCCATCGACCAATCGAATCTGTGCTGAATTGTTGGTGTTAAGTGAGTTGTATTCCTTCACTGGCTGCTGATGATTCTTAAATTGAACAGCTCCTCCATTTTTAATGACCCTGCGAAAGGTGAATCGGATGAAAATTTCGAGTTAAAAAAAAATCGGAGTTTAGTATTGAGAACACTTCCATATTGGTATGCTTGATGCTGACTTACCACTCGGCACATAATCGATCCGGTCCAACTTCTTCGAGGCGCTGTGCGTCAACTTTATTGAAGGCCACACGCAAATATGCGAAAAAATTTCGCATTTGCCGATTTACGCCACTATTAAACAGTGTCCGATCGGCTTTTCCGATAGCAGAATATAGTAATTTTGATGTCATCGTACCATTCAACACTCTATGCGGCTTCTAATCCTCTGTAATACTCGTTCGATCGGTTCAACAACAGTGTGATATTGCGTTCAATTGTATCATTTTGTTATGATTTGAATGTCATTCTAAATACGGCAAATTAAGGTTAAGGTGTTCAACACTTGGTGCTGCTGTCGCCGAGGAGACTAGTCAACGAATTATACTTTTGGATGGAGAACGCCACGAATTGGTTGGCCAAAGAAAAGTTTAGATGTTCAAGTTTTCCATACGCAAAGTTTGAAATAAAATCAGCCTTTGATGAAATTAAAAGCCATTCCATATCCGTTCACTCAGTCAATGCCGTTTGCCCAAGAAATGTTTAATTTGAATTCCATGCACCAAAAAGTGCTTGTACTGAATTTTTTCATGCACATTTTTTGCGCTGATGAACAATTTTTGACATTGCACTTACGGAAAGTCCTACACTGACGATGATAATAATTACTGTTGCTTGCATCGTGCTAGTGAACGAATGAGCGAGCGGGAAAAAAATCGTGTAAAAGTTTTGACAACAATTTCGTTGGGCTTTAATTTGGTAATGTCATGTTCGGTGCACGAGTGCCAAGATCCAGCCAGGGAAAAAAAATATGCGCACAGCAATATGAAGCGAATGAAGGCTTCGTTGCAAACTTATGAACATGATTAAAATTTGAATGTTGAGTGAACTTTAGCCAGCGCCACGGTAATATGACACGTATCACACGGGCGATGAAAGCATCGAGCGAACAAATAGCGTTGTATGTGGGATAGAGTGTATGTTAGATTGAAGAAGTGCTGTGGCAATGGCAAGGCTGTACGAGTTTTGTCGAAGTATAATCGCACTTGAAGCCGAAGGAGCTGCCGCTGCCAAAGAAAATGTTATGTGCCGGAAGTATTTCCACTTGAATTCAAAATGTGCAAATTTTAAGTCATTGGCAAAATTAATTACATTCATTTTTCGGCTCTTTGGTTCACGTTATCTTGACAAAAACTGCATGCAGCATCTGTGTGTTTCAATGCCCTTCAATTTTCAAAATGAAGCATTTCTTTCTCTCACACAAAATTTCCTTCTTTCTTATCATCTGGTTTGCAGCTTGAAAGGGTTTAAAATCTGACATTTCCCCAATTCACGGCTTCCATTAGCGTTTCTTAATCGAATCAATTGATTGTGTGCGTTAGAATTCGCGATGCAGAAGAAATGAAAGCCATTGTAATGGATGAATTACATTGAAAATTGTTGGCATTTCAAGGCGAAGATTCAGGTCAGAAGACAAAATGCTTCATGCTCAAACGCCATTGCAACTCACATCCAAAAATTCTTCTCCAAATTGACTCTCGTCCTGATTGGTTGGCGGTATTAATGACGAAGGGTGTATTTTGAATATATCCATTTGTCGTAAGCCGAGACTCATTTCGTTCATTCTCGCTTGGTTTTGTTGTTGTTGTGTATGCCGTGTACAGTAGCAGTAGCAGTGATTGTGGCCTGAAAGCCGATTAGGATGATTTGGATGATTGACAGGTTTCCAGTAAATGTTTGCCAGCTTCATACATATCAATCTAAGCATTTTTGACGAGCCACAAATGCGATGTGAGCTCTGAAACACACTGAAAATACTTTCCAAAAAAAAAAAAGACTCAAGATTCTAAAACCGGGCCCAAACCGTTTACATCTCGATGCAAACGTGAGTATGATCATGGAACATGTCAGAAAATAAAATCATATCCAGAGCAGAAATGAGACGAAATAAAACACTCTTCAACTTGAGGCCCTCATCCACGTGGAGAATGGAATCAAAATAAAATGAAAATGAATGATGTTGTATTAATTCTTCGGCTGAACCATATTATTCGTTCGCTTCGAGAGATGGAAGAAAGAAGTCGGACAAAAATTAATCAACTGACCACCTTAGTACATCTGCATAACTTACAGATTTGTTTGATGCGTATCGCGTTAAACTCGGCTTGAATAATCTACGAGCAGACATTTATACGTCTCAATGTTGGATTTATATCCACCTATTTTATATCTCAACGTATTATCTCTCACTCTTTGCTCCAACTTTCTCGAAGTCAAAGCCACAAAAAAGATTGTCGTTTTTGGGGCGTCGCCAAAATCAATTTCATGTTTGTTTCCGAGTTTTCTCTCTGTGTGTTTTTCTCACTCTTTTCTCTCTTCTTTCACTCATTCACTCGCTCGCTCTCCATGTCTGTAATTTCCATCGTTTTTTTTTCTGTTGTTCATGGATACAATTCGTGTATTTATATAGAGCTTGTGTTTTGAAAGCTAGAGATTTATTTACCACTGGCTTTAATATAATCCAGAAGCAATGTAATTGATTAATTTGACAAGAGAGTATCGAATATTCTGATTTTCCATATATGAGCTGTGTGACGTACACACACATGTGATGCAACTATTTTTATCCGATAGAAAATATTATTGATGCAAACATGTTTATTAAAATACTGTGTTCAGCCGCTGAAGAGAGTATAATTTGGGCTCGTTTACGCAACGAAATATCAGCCACACAAGGGTGACTGGCACAACAATGTTTTGAGAGAAAGAGAGAGAGAGAGAGAGAGAGAGAGAGAGAGAGAGAGAGAGAGAGAGCGTGTGTGTATGTTTAATAAGCGGATTATGTAAAATTATGAATTATTTAACTACTCAGAATCGACGTTGGTTGCGATTTCATAAAATTTTGATCGAATTACAAACATCATTACTATGTAAAAAGGGATGCCATGGTTTTTCTAATTCATGTACACTGTTTATGTGTTGTTTTGAATCCGATTTTCGAAAAGTTTCGATGAAAAATGTTGTTGTTTCATTCAGAGATTTTTCAAGATTTAGAATTTTAAATGAAAACGTACAATGACCAACTTTTCATTCATTTTTTTATTTTTGGCTTTTTTATTTACTTTTTCTTTACGGCATTCATATTTCACGTACAGCCATTGTTTCGTTTGGCATGTGAAGATTGTTGGCTTGGTCTTAGCTGAAATGTGAATTTCGTGAAATCTAATCTTGTGCGGCATGAGTGCGGGCGCGCGTAACTGCACTTTAATGCACATGAATTGAAACGAATTGCACCCGGTTCAGGCTCTTTTTTTTCTTCGTCCCATTCAGTTCTTAACATCAGTTTTTAACGGTGAAATCAAATACTTATTCTCGCATCGTTCTCTTGGCAGTTCCGACAATTCGATAATATTCGGTGTGATGTGTGTATTAATAAATCTAAATTGAAAAATTGGACGATAGACATGCAGCTCTGTCGCTGCATGTAAAATGAGGAACCGAATATGTGTCGAACAATTACATCGAGACGGAGAAAATATACACGCTTGGCACACGTTGTTGAAATGAAGCGCTGCACTTAAAATAACTACTTGAATTGTCAAATTTGGAATGGCACACGATTTTGTTTTCAGGGAAAAAAAAAAATGTTCGAAATCATTTTTGACCACCCACCACAGCCATCGTCGTCGTCATCTGATGTTCACTTCTGGTGTTCCATTTTTACGCGACTGCACACGAGCAACCATCGACAAGGGAACACACAGTTTCTGTGCTGACAATGTATTTGACTTTAACTGATTCGAAATCGCAGGCAAAAAGAAAGATTCGGCTCAAATTACAACGAATGGAACACATCAACAAAACGACGGCGTCCAACACAAAAACCATTCAAATTTTGCTAAAGATGCATTGTCGACATGCAAAATCGAGCCTCGCACCCTCTTCACATTTGTTCTATTTCTTACAGCGCATAATTTTAACAACTTTGTGTCGACAATCACATCGCTGCTGCGCCTGTTCGGCTGAGCTCAAATATAAACAGGATTTAAATGAACGTATTAACTCCACCGAAGTAAATTAAAATCATGTTGAAAAGTGCGTGCACGCTCACAAACACACATTTTCACCATTCACATCGCATGCCGTATCATATGAGAGGTGCATGTATTTCAATGCGCATTCAATAGTAAATGAGACGACATCAACGCCATTTACACGGGCTGCCAGCCGTTTTATTAGTATTCCGTTTATTTGTCATTATTCACACTAAATTATGTGTCGCATGGCACACAAATACGGATTATAATCCTTCGATGCGCAAGGGAAAAAAATGAAACACACACTCACACTCACATGCATCCATTGTTTAATCGTTTTCACACCAACCAAATGTGTATGAGGGACCATTTTTGGATCGGCCAAATAGGTATGTATTTTGGCATTTCGACTGGATAATAACATTTCATTCGGAGTTTCTGACTTCAAAATCCGATTTTTGATTTGGATTGATTACTGTTTTTTTTTTTAATTTCATCTCGTTCTTGTGTTCTCATTTCTTCGATTTTTTTGGGGCCGTTTGTTACATTTTTTGTTATTATTACCTATTTGTTTTCGTTTTTTGATCATTTTTAATTTGTGCCTGCTATTTCTCTGTAATAAAATTAACTGTTTTTCCATTCAAAACGTTTGAAATGAGAAAAAAGCGGATCTTTTCAACTGAAGCAAAAGAAAACTGACGCACAACAGTGCATTAGAGTCACTAACAATAGAATCAATCATGCGAAACTTATGACGGCCGTTTGGCGATGCAGCTGCAATATTCATACTCTGCTCAACTATGAAACAGCAAGCATTAAGTGCCATCTCACAGGACCCTGGCACATGGAGAAGAAGAAGAAAAAACACTGCCTCCGGTTCTTTTTCTCAATTTCAACAATTATATTTTCAATTAATCGAAAATATATCGTTGGAACATGTTTGTTTACGCAAAATCAGCTCTTCAACATTGATCCCTGTTTGTATCGTTTTCTGGTGGTGTTTGACACCGACGAGAAGAGATATATGTATCGCGAATCCAAAGAGAAAACAATAATGCCATAACAAAGACACCGTGTATCAAATCATTAGGCAACAAATGAACCTCCGGCCATATTCTCTTTGAGCGCAATTCAGGCGTAACAATTAAAATGAGCACAATCAAGCCAGCAATTTGATCACATTTTTAATGCTATTAAAGCGATTAAATAGCCAGAGGCGTTAGGATTTTTGATACAGTTTTTTTTTTGTGTCATTCAACCAT